TTAAACCCTGTATTAATAACTAAAAATTGATTTTTCCGATGAGTGACTGGTTTGGCTTGTCTTTGCCACATATATTCCCGCGTATAAAACAACCCCAGAGTTTGAGAAGATTTTAGGATGATCTTGTTATGACGGGCGTGATGACCCCCTCCCCCGTTTCACTGTCGGAATTTCTTCTTTCAATACGATCCTCTGGAACCATGCCTGCATTTAGCACTCAAATCGCCAAACTGTATTAAGTCCAAGTTCTAGGCTTGGTAAGTTCAAGGATTTCATTGTATCAGCATATAAAACTTAACTGACAAAGCAACAATCGTCTTGTATGGCATTTATTTCTGGCTCTTCAAATGTACATGGATGGTAACAAAAAATTAGTACATTAGCTTCATTTCAGTAATAAATTTGCATGTTACAGACAATCCTTACATAAGACAAACATGATTTTAAAATCAAAATATTGTAAGTCACGCATATTTTGTTTCGATCATAATTTGCTATTTTAAGCCTCGTCGGATACGCGAGCATAACATAGTAACAGCATCAGTCTTGAACTCACAACCTCTCAGATTTCAAACAAAATTTCAAATTTATTGCATTGTTAATTTAAACAAAAAACCTTGGTTTTTTTTCTTCTCAATCAATCCATGCTGATGGAAGAATTTCCAGTGTACTCATTTTTTAATAAGTTCAATGTCTTGTTCGTCATTTTTGATTGTTTTCTGGTTGTTCTAATTTGTTAAGGTATCCGAGTGACTGTATTGCTTGGTATTGATCAGGAATCTCCATCAAAACATTCAGCGCAAAAGCAGCCTCTGCGTATTTCGACTTGGAATAAACTTCATGAAAATTCACAAACTGAAAGTTATCAAATTTACGCTTTGGCAAATTATCATCAAAATTAACAAGATTATTCCAGGGCCCATCGCCAACACCGACGACAACAATACTAATAGGATACATGGACGCCTCAATTATTGCTTCCGCTGTTAGCTCTTCATTCATAACCTGCCCGTCAGTAATTATTAATAATATATGGTATGACATCTTCTCCTTAACGATTGCAATGGCTTTGCGAATGACTGGCACAAAACTTGTTGGTCCTCCTAGTGTGACCCTTGACACCATTCCATTGTAAAGTTCAAGCACTTCCATGAAGCCGTGGCAGGGTGCGCCACTCGATTTGAAAGGGAACACACCCGTATCTTTAAGCTTCGAATCACCAAAACCGTAAGCCGGTACCAGATGATCAGAATCAAGATTCTCCAGCGTGGCACCGACACACGCTATCACTTTTTGATACGGGTTAAAGACCTTACCGTTGACGAGTTCATGCAGGCATTTGCCACTGAACGTTTTCCTACCTTGCCATTCGTTGCTTGCCGTGAAGTCAACGGCGATGATGATATCGCTTTTCTCCATTCCGGTTTTTTTTATAGCGAAGGCTACTTCATCGTAAGTCCTAAACTTATCGGCAAAAGCTGTGAATGTTTCACACTCCTCCTGTTTGAAACCAAGACTCTCAAATAAGCTCGTCTCTGTGAACCTGGTTTCTCTTTTACTGGATATTTCCTCTCGTTCTTTCTGGGATTTTGGCTGGTAGAAATGCAGCAAGACTAGGTACACAAAGAACCCAGACAGAAAAAGTATGGCAGACATCTTGATTGACAATTACGTTTTTAATACCTGAAAAGAGAATATTTCATTAATACTGGTAATAAAATACCGTACTATAGCAGTAATAATGATGATGATGATGATGATGAAGATGGTTCTGATGATGACAACTGAGATGATGATGATGATGATTGATTACTGATTGACTGAATAATGATGATGATAGTGATAATGGTGCTGATAATGATGAGGATGACTGTGATGACTGAGATGATGATGACAGTTGAGATGATGATGATGATTATGATTGATGATAGATAACGATGATTGTAGTGATGTTGATGAGTGTTTGGTGATTGTTTATGAAGATGATAATGATGATGGTGATAATGCAGATGATAATGACAACGCCCACAAATGGGGATGGTTGCAGCAGCGCCAATGAAAAATTGTATCGTCGGTCTGGGCAATAATTCTGGTTCGCTTATGTTAATATTGACAATGACAATGACAATGACAATTTCTTTTATTTCCTTTCAGCATCAATAGATTATAAATCATACAATAATCCAAGATAATGTTAGAAATATTAAGCAGTCAAAGGAGAAATTCTAGAAGCATAATGCCTGTAAATGTTTAAAACATATCAACAATATAATATAATCAGTCTTATTTATAGGTTTTATTTATATGTTTTGTACATACATATCTAAATACAAGTAGGTAAATAGTAATACTGTAATAGAAAAGGAACATGTAATAATTGTATCAAGCACAGCTCATCAATGAAAAGTTCCATTATTTCAGTTGCATGAAAAAAAAACGTCTTTAGACTAGGGATACAAACCTGCAAACTTTTGCTAACGAGGCAAGCATCACACCCATTAGACCACGGAGAACTATAGGATATACATGCAGTTCTCTTATACGACTGACAATGTGTGCATTGCAATGCACACATACATACACACACACACACACATACACACACACACACACACACATATATATATATATATATATATATATATACATATATATACATATATATATATATAAAAAATCAGTATAATTTAATATACTGTATTCAAAAAGAAAAAAAATTAAAATATTTATTAGAATAATGTGAATACCACTAGACCTTGAAACTTAATTATGATATAAAAATTTAATGGTGGAATGGATTTCCACAGCCTTATTAAAATGCTTATAGAAAAATAAATTTATAAAACAATATGATAGTACAGGAGACAATGCCAGGATAAATCCAATGAAGGTCCAGGTGGGAATTATTTGATTAACTGATTGAATTTATTCTATGATTGAAATGCACATACAATATAAAAAAAAATATTTGTGAACAAAAAAGTAAAAATTAATAAGCATCAGGAATGCCCATTAGGCCAGAGTCCAGTCCATTTCCAAGTGGCGTCCAAAAATTGCACATTAAATAATTACCAAACGGGACTCGGTGTTTATGTAGTCTGGTAGCATGATCGTACTAATTAATGAATCAAGCTCGCGACTAATGCATGCGACACAGTAATTACATACAATATATAATTATACTACATATTAACATGAGTTCTATGTCAATGCTGAAGTGGTTAATAATTAATGACGACATGTAACCCTTCATATTTCATTTTCCAGCAAAGGCAACATAATTTTTGATTAATATTTGTTGTAGATTTTTCAGATTGTAAACCTACCTGGTTATCAGATTATATTCATGCAAAAAGTTGACCCTAGTGGAAAGGTCAAGCACGTTAGTGCTCCATTAGATAACTAAAGCATTTACTTCAGTTATATGGAAAATTTTAAATCCTTGTTTCATTTCCTTCTCAACAGTGATTCACCACTTGCAGGATGGAATTAGCCCATTCCTGCATAAATTAACTGTAGAATAGGATGAAACGTTACCTGATTTAATTACCCTATTCTTGCAGAAACCGAAAAGTCCACTGATTAATCTAAGATAAGATAGTATAATACATTACATACTCCAAGTAAAAAAATGCATGCCATTGTGTCAGGATTCAAAATTTCGACATTAATTATCCTGATACGATGGCGTGCATTGTGATACTTGGAGTATGTATTATACTACTGTGCCCTATTCTTGCAGTGTGTCCAGATGGAAACGTTCACAGGGCACTATAGGAGGTGTATAATCTAATCAGTTTAACAGATGGGTTTCGGAAGCCAAAATACGAAGCGAGGTAGGGCTGTCCATGGAACCAGGATGCAAAGAGGGATAGAAGCACTCAGTCATTACCATAAAATTCTGTGTTTCATCTGTTACATCATTAGTCATGTGATAGTTGGTTTAACTACTTAATAGTTAAAAAAGTGTTGTCATTAAATGGAAAAATCGAGATCATTGGTCGGTCGGTTAGATTTTTTTTTCTTCATTTTTTTTTCCTTTTTGTTTTTAGTAATCCCTGAAACAGGATAGGCCTCAAACTGCAGTCCCTATTATGAAGACCAAACCTAAAGGCTAGTAGCTTGTAGGCACCACAATAGCACGATGGCAAGCTTGCCAATACAAAAAATATTCAAAGTACTGACAGATTATACTAACCAAGTGTATATTGAAATAAATTAATAACAATAATAAATCAGATTAAAGAAAGTTTTATTTGGCTTTGAAATGTAGAACAATAATGTGTATCCGATCCACACGATCATGCACTGGCAGGTCGAGAAAAACCATACTATGTCTATGAAAAATGTCCAGACAAGCACCCTCTATGCAATACAATCAAATAAAAAAGAAAAACATTTCGTTCACGGATGGCCTTAAACCATAAACGGAGTCCAAGTCTAGCTATGTACGACCAGCTTTAAAGTGATGGCTAGACCTAAAGCCTGTTTTTATTTATTGTCCAATATACCGTAAGTATATTATCTAAATTATGACTTCTATTTTACCGATTTTACGTGTGCATGGCCCGATTTTGATAAACAATACATGTCTCTTTTAGATTTTACGTTCTAAATGTTAATTTTGGCAGTGGTATTTCTCGAATTTGTACTTGAACAAAATTTGAAAAAAAAAATGCTGACCCGAATTTTTGGAAAATTTTGGTCGTTCGCAGAGGGCAACACAACATATTTCTTTTTTTTTGGCCTTATCATGCAATATTTGGACTCATTAAACCATTACATCAGTTAAGACATTAGTGACCATACCAAAACAAGCGCTTGTCATCAAGAATAAATGAAAATTTTCAAATCAGCTATTAAAAGTCTGATGTATTGACAATCATAATACATGTTGGACAAAAAACATAAATTTCATCTTCACCATCTGCTATCCGTTTTTAACAATTTTTGCATTAAGATTTTGACCTCAAAAACACAAAGATTTAAAATAATGTCATATTCTTCATTTTCAAGACAAGAAACTGTTAAGTTAACTGATGTAGGTGCTAGCATTGAATAAATGAATAAATATAGTTTAAATGGATGTATTAGTGCATATATAAATTTAATTCACTTCTCTAAAGTCTATTCCAATAAAAAAATCAATATTCATTTTTTATATAACTCACTTAGCAGAGCTAATTTGACAATGGGGTGGTAGGGGTGGTAATGGGAGGTTCCTCCCATATCCCCTGACCCAAAGCCCATGGGTTTATCCTAGTTAGCTTCAGCAGTTTTCATTGCATGGAGAGGTGGGGGGGGGGGGGGGGGGAAAGGGGGAAGGGGAGTGGAAAGTGAGCAACATTGTGAACATTAGGCAAGAATTTGTTTATACCTTGTCTAGCAAACCTGCCACCTGCCAATAATAATGATAATTTTATCCAAAGTCTGTATATTTCTAGCACAACTATTTGCTAAATAAGAGAACAAGATTTTATTTTAATTTTTTTTCCTTCCTCCTCTGACGACCTATAAAAAATAATTTTGCGAAACAAGGTACACAAAAATGTCTAGTCTTAACAGAATTAAAACAAATTAATTCACCTCTCTGTCCTCGACACCAAGAATGAATTATGAGGTGGAGCCAGGGCTGAAAGGATCGTCATTAAAAACGATCTGTTGCGAGCATTTTGTCGCGTTCCATTCTTCATAGAGTTGTGATGCCTAACGACCATCAGGCACTGTGCGAGTACACTGCTTTAGATGTTCCACGTACCATATAAATATAGCGCGCTTCAGTCACAAACATCAAAGAAAAGTTAACCAATTTTGGAACATCAAATTTAATTATATAGAAAATTTATTTAATAATTCTAGGAAAATCTAACAAAATGATGGTCTATCTAATACCTTAGAACCTACAATTTCACCAAGTACAAACCTGCCAGAAAATAACAGTTATTAACAATTTATCTCACAAAAAAAATTATTATATTTTTTATATGTTTTTATATATACTGTGAATGGACGTACATAGTTGCCAAACTCATCACTGTATAGATATAAAAAAAGAAACAAAATACCTGCCTTAAACAAAATAAAAAAAGCCAGATATGTGATGCGATGTTATACATCCATGGATGTACCATCTGATTTTCCAAACGAATAAAAATGAAGAAATCTTATACAGGAGTAGACCATGGAGCAAATATTTTCTCCATGGGTAGGCCTACATATTTTTAATATGATGATGCAAAAAGCTTGTCCTGAAAATATCATGGTACAGTACTGTAGGTTGAAAGTACTGTACTGAGCAAACAGCGTTCATTAGGCTAGATAACAACAAAATACAAATCAATCAATAAAGTTTAGCTTGTTGTAGGTCACACAATCAATAGGGTTTCGTAACGCAAACAGACGCCGGTGAAACCCCAAAGTATACACTTACAAAAATCCCTGATCACACAATTACCGCACACTGAAAGTGTGCAGTAATTCATAATGTATTTCCTTCACTGTTTTGGCAAGCACAGGCTGACAAGGAAGCATAGGCATTTATTAACCAGAACATTACATACATTACAACATATATTGTACATAATTGTCGATTGTGTGTTCGCTTTTAATTACCATACATTTTAAAAACTGAAGTCTTTCAATGTAATGTGCGGAGTAAAACCACACTGATGCCATCTCAGCCAACACTGACCAACGAGTTGCGAAACAGCCCTGCTGCATACCACAGACACTGACAGGTAAAGGTGCATCACAATATATAAAATATCTACTCACCACAATATACTGCAATTTGCCGAATCGACATATTGCTAATGAAGGATTAAGCGGCAACGAACAGCATCCTTAATTTACCGACACACGTAGGTCACCTACATCCTTGATGCGTTCTTGATTGCAAATACCGTGTACCGCAAGCACAAAATAAACAAGGATAATAACAGCCGCCGGATAACTTGCATCCCGATAGAGGGCCCTATAACCATGGAGGTAATCAGAACCATAGATAAGGACAGTTCTGGGCATACAGACGTGCGGAGAGACAATAATAGGAATATTGTTTTAATTCATTTAATTATCAATCTATCAATTAATTTGTATTAATTATATTGTTTGTATTAAGGTACGATTAAACCACCAACCTTAATATCAGTTTGTATTTAATTTTCAAGCAAAGCGAATAATAATAAATAAACCAAAACACAGTGCGACTTCATGGTCGATCATAAAATTAGTTTACTTTTAATATTCTAGAACAAAACTGACAAAAGCTTATAAAAGATTTAACAATAATTAAGAAATCCTAACCTTATTCTGAATCATGAAGCAGCAACTTTAACAAATTATGTTCTACACGGCGTCAAATTTTGTACTTTGGTCACTATTATATCCTATTCGTGAAAAACTCAACTTATTATTTAAAATATAGGCCACTGCATGACCTAAGCCTATGTAATTTGACATAAGATTGCCAACTCTTGAAAGTTTACGGCATAATATATGATTCCAGCCTTACCAACGGGACGACGTGGTTCCAGGAACATATCTGGGTGGGAACAAGACCGACATGTTGGCTTAAATGAGGGGCCGGGGTGGGGGAGGGGGCCTCAAGCATGGAGGAAGGGTACTTTGTTCGATTAAAAATGATGCCATGACCATGGAAAAGTGATATGGTGACCGATTACCAAACTCATTCTTAATCTGATCACAAACAAGTGTGGTGAGCTCAAAATCTCACAGGCCTAAGGGATGAGAAAATTGGTGTTATTTTTATACGTGACAAAAAATAAAATTGAGAAGTTTCACCACGTTAATTTCTATAAAATTCTAATTTTAAAAATCAGCCAGAACGCAATTGTGAAAGCAAGAAAATCAAATTTGGTGTGAGATTTCAATCTTCCCTGGTTTCACCAACAAAGGGTAGGCCTATGTTTTTATAATCATGAACCTCCGATGAATGGAGGCCTATTATTAAAAAGGTCTTCAAAGCAGGCATCCATTAGGCCTACCTACTGCAAGCATTTTCTTGGACGTGAGAAAGCGTAGGCCTTGTTATAAATCGCTTTTATCTATTCGCCTATAAAATATTAGATGACACGCAGCTGATGTTGCACCATCGCCGCGTGTAATAATTTTAGTTTCGGCTTGTTAGATAACCTGATTGTATTTGTTGCCAAAAGATATGAACTTTTAAGGCGGTCGCTTACGGGAGGTAAATCATAAGACAAATCCATATGTCAAAAAGTGTTCGCAGTCGCTTACTTAGTGATGGATTTGGCCTTGTTACATGACGTATGCAGGCCCGTATCCAGGTGTGGGGGGGGGGGTATGGTTCGGGAGAACCCCCCTTTTCTAGCAAAAACCCCTCTTTTCTGGCGAACCCCCTCTCCAAATTTCACAAATAAGTCCTCCTACCAACTAATGCACTGCAGACCCACCCAAACAAAGACCTTTTCAAACATATCTGCTTTTATAGCATTATTTACACCCATAAAGCACAAAAATCCTCTTTCTTTGGGGGTTTCGCCGACCCCACCGGGGCTTCGACCGTGTACCTACCTCTCGCCCAGAAAACCCCCCTGGGAAGAACCTGGCTACGGGCCTGGACGTATGGCAATTTTGGCGAACGCTGGGCATACGCTGGCAGGTCGAGAAGTATATGCATTGATTTAGACAAACGGGACCATATCAGTGGCGGATCCAAGAATTTGAAATAGAAGGGGGCCCAGCGAGAGATCTTGACAGATTGAGGGTCCACTACTTCAGCCCCACCATGGTCAACTAGATGGCTAGAAATGGCACTCTCAAACTTTAAATTTGAATGTATGAGTCCTTTTTTCTCCAAATTTATACCATAATTTGAAAAAAATTAGAAGGAAATGGGGGGGGGGGGAGGACGGCTTTCTTCCCCCACCCCTTTGATTCCGCGACTGCATACCTATGAGAGTGGACGTTAAGGGAGGTGATCGCTTACGGGTGGTCGCACAGGACCTATTAATAGGTCCATGCTTAATCTTAGCTGTATATACCAGGGAAGATTTAATTTATATTCTTCTGATTAAACCAAATAGGCCTAATACTGTAATAAAAACAGAAAGGTCGACTGATTAATCTCAGATAAAATAGTATAATACATACTCCAAGAAGTATCGAAATGCACGCCATCGTGTCGGGATTCAATAATTCGACATTAATTATGTCACCATCAGGAATTGAATCCCGACACTATGGCGTGCATTTCGATACTTGGAGTATGTATTACACTATCATATACTGTAATAAATTACTGTGCTTTCATTTGCTACCTCGATAGGGGTAATCCGAGAGTTACCATGAAGTAACAAAATGTTTTTTATTTCAAATTTAATTACTGTACCGGCGTATGCACAACATTCGAGATTTTAATACAGGTCATTAAGTTACTCTGTAAATCATAATAAAAGAAGGGTGGCTTGCATTTCATATATTATAGCTCTTTCCACCTCCCCAACACGGCACGTCGGCCCTCTGCACATTCAGCAGCCTTGTAGCGCTCGTTTGTTTTATATTATTTATTTTTGGCAGGACTGCAGGAAAATCCCCAAGGGGGGGGGTGTCCAATGGCTAACTCATGGGGCTAAATGTCAGTTACATCACACTAACATTAACATTTTCCAAGTTTCATGGGTCCATTTCGTCAGTCACTCCCTCATTTTCCCACGGTTCGTTTCGACACTTTCGAGTTCGATTTTTCCCACGGCTAATTTGAGGGCGCTAGATACAAACACAAACACGTACCCAGATCATATTTATTGTGTACTGTACATACTACAGTTATGAAGTGGCTTATACACTATATCTTTTTTTTGTATTTGTCAGTCGTAACGTATGTAGAATCGATGCGAAATGTTGACACCAATCAGAAAAATGTACACCGTACTCATATATTCAACATGTTACACAAGACAAACTTATTCTCAGCAAAACAGGTGAGTAAATCTAGGCCTACCCTAGTAGTATTACAGACAGTACAGACAGGCTAACCTCTTTATTATCCCTTGGCAGCCAGGCTGCCATACATAAATTCCGCTGCCATACGTAGGCTAAGTCTAAGCCTAGCCTAGCTAGTGAGTAAGTAGGGCTTGGGCATAAAGAGTCCCTACTGTAGGCAGGGCGGCCGGCAGGGCCTATTATGATCTACTCCAAACACCATAAGCGAACCAAATGAAAATATCAAAGGTCATTAATTAGGCCTAACTAGCCTGCCTAGTCTAGACTAGGGACTAGTAGTAGTAGGGACGGTTTTTAATACCTCCCTCCATCTTTACGATGGCATCTATACAATTAACCTCTGTGGGATATGGGGTGCCATACGCAGCAAAAGTCCATGTTAAAATCAAAATGTAATTGCAAAATTCAATGTCTAATTTATCAAAACGTAGGCGTAAATTTCTCAAAATGTAGATC